CAGAGAAACATATATCGTGACGGTCGTTTAGTGAAGAGTGCCGTAATCGCTGTTCGTGATACCATTCGGCACGGCCTGCAGACTGAACTCCTTGAAGTCCTGGACCATATCATCACTCTTACCCTTGACCTCCTTGGGCTCCTTGGGCTCATGGTGACTCATCTGCATGGGCGAATCCACAACAGTTTCCTCCGAATCGTCCATCTCAGCCTCCTCGGTACCAGACTTCGCGTCAATTTCTTCGCCCTCATCATCGGCCAGGCCTTCCTCGGCGTCAATGAGCTCCTCAGCCTCAGCAGGATCGTCGCGCGAGTCGGGCACAGCATCTTCGCCTAGCCTCCAATCCTGGATAGCCATGATGATATCGACAGCAAGCTGTCCGTTCTTCCTCAGTGCTTTGTCCCAGTGCGCCGGGATGCCCTTCTCAAGCACCATAAACCTAGCCACAGCATGCACAAGCATGTGCCGCATGGGGCTCCCGTTCTCGGTGTTCGCGTAGATGTACTGGACTCTCCTCAACCCTGGGTAGGTGTCGGAATACTTGTACCACTCCCTCACAACCTGCAGCACGTCTGCGATCAGGGCCCCAATCTCCAGCTTCTCGGACAGGAGGTAAAGGTCCAAGAGCACGGACAGATCGCCTTCTTCGCGGGGCACGGGGAGCGAGGAGCTGTAGAGCCAGCCGACCAAGGCTTTGAAGGTCGCATCTTCCTCTTCAGGGAGTCCGAAGTGCGAGGTCGTGCTGCCCTTCTTGTAGAAGATCTTCCGGAAGAAAGGAGAATGGTGGCAGAGGAGCTTTTCGTGGAGGATCCAGTGTGTGTTCTCTTGGCCGACGTATATGTCGACCATGGAGCGGGAGAGGAGCCTGTGAATTGGTTAGGGAGACATGAGATTAGAAAAGGTACACCCTTGACGTACTCATTGAGCGGCTTCTCTGGCGCGACTTCAGGCATGGTGGCAATGCGATTTGATAGTAGTCTCGAATAGGTATATTATAGCTGCTCGCGCAGATGGAATGATCAAAGATTGATGGATTGGGCTAGAAAAAAAAACTGGACGAAGCTTCCAATCTCAGGAGAAAAGCGAGAAGTGAAGAGCAAATGGAAGCTACGAGGCTATGTGCGCCTAAAAAGCAGGACAGGAGGCTGGGGTGGATGTTGAACAACATGACGTCAAGCCGAACGCCTCTTGCAGAACTACCCTGCTTGAGACACCATCCCCGCCTAGCTTACTGAACTAGGCAAGGATGACGGCGATTCGGTTCCCAATTGCCATGCACGCGTTGGATTGTGATGCGACTTTTAGCGTGAGAAAGACTTTTCGATGGTTGGTGCTACATATGTAGTGGTCGAGGTGGTTGGTAGTGTGGTGCTAGAAGGAAAGACTAGCCGCGACCTGGCTTCGAGAAAGAGACAACTATCCATTGTGTTACAGTGTCAGAGTGATGCGTCAACCAGAGGATCGATTACTACATAACTATGAGCATGAAATGAAGGGGTATACGACGGCGCAACAATCGAAATCGACGTGCACAAGTTTGGCCAAACTCAGACCGCCCGACGCTCGTCAGGCATGTTCTTCCGCTCCTTGGCAGTTGCCTTCTTGCGACGGCGCTCGATCGCCCTGTCGCGATCCTTCGACTTCATGTTCTGGAAGCGATCGATCAACGCGAGCTGCTTCTGGTCCGACTTCTTCAAGTAGAACGGCTGCTTTCCTTGCTTGACCAGCTCCTTCTCCTTCTTCCTGTGCTCATTCAGCACTTCCTGCCGTTTGTCTTTATCTTCCTGCGTCTTCTGCTGGGACTCCATCGACAATAACTTTTTCTTCAGCTTCTCCTTGTCTGATCCATTCTTGGTCTTCTTAATGGCGTCCCGCAACTCTGTCATCTCGGACTTCTTGTAATCGTCGATGAAGGCGTACCGTTTCCTTATCGCGTTCTCGTCTGGCTTCAGCCCGGACATATTGTCGAAGCGAGGGTCGCGTGCAGTGTTCTTTTTTACCTCCACAACCTTGCGTTTTCGTGTTACTGGCCTCCTGCTCGTCTGAACTGCCGGAGCGTGCTTACTTGACCGTGCGCGCGGGGCAGCGTCTGGCTCTGATGCGCCATCATCATCCGAATCCTCGTCATTTTTGGCGCGGGCGACTTGGGTCTTGCTGGACTTGGACTTCTTGCTCGCCGGTGCGCCTTGAGCCATCTTCGCTGCTTTGATCTCCTGCAACCGTTGCCGCAATGCTTGCAATTTATCATCCTGCGATTTCGAGCTTTCTTCGCCCCGTTTCCGCTTGCGATTCGCCGATGGTTGTTTCGAGAGCGCGTCTTGTGCCTTCGCCAGTGCGCCAAAAGAAACATGGCTCATCTGCGCCTGTACATCCTCCTCGCTGTCCTCTTCCCCAGAACCGGCTTCTTCGTCTTCCCCATCCTCATCTGAGCCGAACACTTGTACCCCATCGGCACCCGTGTCGATTACGGAGGGAGACGACGATCGGTCGGTGACCTCGTAGTATTCTTCGTCATCTGTACTTTCTTCCGGGCGGAGCTTACGGTCGAGTTTCGAAGAGAGTGGCATGGCGAGGTCTTGCAGTCACGGGCGACTCAAAATGGTGCGTTGAAGGATTCAAAGTGGACTTCACTGGCAGAACCCCAAACTTTTTGCTGTCCCCACATATATCGGGTGAACCTTTATCCGGAGTTCCGCTAAACTGTCGCAACAGCCCCTCTCACATTCACCTAACTCATGTCACGTACAGCCACCCGTTCCTTGATTACGCGGAAGCACCTGAGTCCGTTCTTCTTTAACGCCTCACCGCCCCATGACGTCAGCACTGGCTATGGTTACACAACGGTTAGACAACACCCGCGCCTGCGCCTGACCCACAACACACAACTAACGTCAACAAGAGCATTGGCTCGACTTCGAAAACCGCCAACATGACGCCCGAAGATGGATCACCGAACACTTCGCATGCAGAGCTCAATAATGCGCCACCCAATATGCCGTACAGCGCATCGCCGAACCCAACGATGCCTGTTATGAACTATGTCCAGACTCAGGCGCAGGCTCAGGCGCAGGCACAGGTGCAGGCACAGATACAGATGCAGGCGCAGATGTATGCAAATATGCATGTACACGCACGGGAACAGGCGCAGTGGGCGGCCTACTATCAATGGACGACCTGGCAGCACTTTTACCACAGCCAGCGGATGATGCAGACAGGCGGCCCCGAGCACCCTGTGTTTGCGCCCGCGCCGAACCCATTTCCGTTTGCCACGGTGTTCAACGCTGAGCCGCAGTATTTCAACGCGCAAGCACAGTATGAGTCTCGAAAGGCATAGCTCAAAATCCATTATAACTCGGAGTTTAGGCCATTCTTACCTGGCGCATATCACCCGAACCAGGGACAAGCGCAGGGAACACAGCAGCAAGCACCGTACGATACTCGTCATCGTTAGGAGCAGAGCCTCCCAGTTAACAAAGCTTCTAGGGCTTCCCCCATTCGCAAAGTCCCTAGCTCGGACCGCCAAAAGAGAGATCCCAAGCTCATGCTACCTGCGCCCGAGCCCACTTCACAGTACCGCATACAGGCGATGGGTGAGCCGGAGGCAGTGGACCCCCCGACCCCGAAGTTGGTCATACTCGACCTCAACGGGACTCTGCTCTATCGCCCCAGCCGCAAACAGCCCACGAAGATGATTGGGCGCCCATATCTGACACAGTTTCTAAACTACCTCTTCGAAAACTTTTCAGTTATGGTATGGTCAAGCGCAAGGCCGGATAATGTCAAGGCTCTCGTGGATACTGGCCTAGGGCCCCTCCAAGATCAGCTTGTGGCGAGATGGGCCCGAGACACGTAAGTTGAGACCCGTTCGGATGATGCCCGCTAACTTTTTGTAGACTTGGTTTGTCCCCACAGCATTACAACATGAACGTACAGTGCTACAAGAACCTTGATCTCGTGTGGGACTCTGAGGTGGGAAAGGGGTTCAACCAGAGCAACACAATCCTTATCGACGATTCGGCCCTGAAGGCTAGCGCACAGCCCTTCAATCTTTTGGAGATTCCCGAATTTACGGGCGAATCGAGCCCGAACGACGTCCTTGGAGAGGTTGCCGGGTATCTTGAGTTGCTCAGGATGCAGGAAGATGTCTCTAAGTTTATCTTCAAGACACCTTTCAAGGCTAACCAGACATGGTCATACAACTGGGAACTTCTCGGACCTGCATTGCAGACGGAAGGCGAGGAGCTGCAGCCTGTCACCTTGGGTGCTTGAACTCATCCTCGGTAGACAGGGGTCAAAAGTTTGAAAGCGCCTTGGATCGAAAGGGCACTATCGGGCTCCCTTGACTAATACGTAAGTTGACCCTTTTGCATTCCAATGATACCCTTCCCCTTTTCTTTCTCCAGGAATTCAAGCATGGGCAAGCATGGATGGATCTCACTTGGGAAAGAGTGTGTTTAGATACTTAGACGCTTGACGAAAGGGCATCCTTCACTGGAAGTTGGAAAGGTCAAGTGACCTGGGTTTTTGCGTAGTTTTCGCTTAGAAAACGGCGCCCGAGTACAAGGCCGAGTGCGAATAGCGTGTAGGCGGACATTTGTTCATAGTGGCAGTGGAGGTGTCTCCAAGGAATTCAAGCATGATGATACCAACAAATCGTTTAGCACTCCTGGCGTTCCACAAGTGTTTGTCGCGCTAACATCACTGTCCATTTACATTGCCACACGAGTTGTCCATGCAAGTATATCTCTCACAGCCTCCAAGCCGCGTCCCACTCGAACTCTGCTCACTGTCACCCCAAATCAAAAAAAACCCCAGTATAGTTCCCAAGTTCCGACGTCGGTGCAACCATCTCCGCCTAGCCCCGCAGGAGCAAGAAGCTGCGCCGCGACCCACCATCCTTGTCCACACAACCTTATCCCACACCCTAACGCCACCACCACCACCACCACCGCCCGCGAACAAAAAGACATCTCTCCCACCAAAAAAGATGGGATTCTTACTGGTCAGTACGAGGGTCGAACTCGCGACCTTGGCGTATCATAAGCTGGAGTTTGCTTATTAGCACCACGCTCTAACCAACTGAGCTAACCGACCGGTCGTCCGATGTTGGATTGGTTGGATTATGGAGTTTTTTCGGGGGGCGGAGAGGTTATGTAGGTGTGTGAGGGCTGGATACTTGGAGGAATGGGTCGGGTTTGGGTATAGGGATGGTGGGTTTGAAGATGGAATTGGTAGGCGCGGTTGTGTGCGGGATGTGGGACTTAGGGGTGAAAAATTTGTTCGGGGGGTGGGTTGGGTTGGGTTGGGTTGGGTTGTTGGGAGGGGGATGGGGATTTGGGTATGGTTGTAGGTGGGAAGGCTTAGAATGTTATTTGAAGATTTGGTGATTTAGTGATTTACTTGTTGGAGTTTTGGAGGGTTGTGGTGCTTTCTGATGTGTACTGTTAGTTGTGGAGGTATGATTATGTAAGGTCTCCTGGATTTTTTAGTAGGGTTGGTAATTGTAGGGTTGTAGTTTGCTAGGGATGTGTAGATGTAGGTGTAGGGGATTATAGTATGGTTGATTGAGGGCTGGTTTGAATAGTACTTAGTTGGATCTTGTAGATTTGTGATGGTTGATGCCTACGTCTATCCGTTGTCATACGGATTTAGAAAGATTGGGATCTTGGGAACATGGGCTATAGTGGTGTCTGTGAGAAGCTTACTTTTTGTGACACTTTTTTAATATATAGACAATGAGAGTTATTGTGAAGAAACTGCTATACTAAACACTTGCATCCTTCGTTTTGCCTCATGTTCGCACGCTTCGAAATACCATGGTACGTACCATACCACGTGGAAAGTCTTCTGTTTACTCATCAAGTTCCACTAATTACCTCATGGCGGGGGAAATCGCCCGCTTGCGTCCCCTCGGTTCATGGCCTCATCGCGTACTATGTGGTAGCATCCCAAAGATAAGAACAAGAGGAGCTCATCTCAAGACTGGCGATACGATTCTCTACTTGTAGATCGGTCCCGCAATAAGCGCAGAATGTTTGCCGAGGCGTTCCACAAGGGTCCAGGCGTCCGACCAATCACACGCCCCCAAACAGCAGCCCTACCGGTAGTCATCACGTCGCTCATAGAGGGGCGCAGGAGCTCTCCGGGGTCCTCGTCAAGCTTGCTGCGAGGGAAAGTGCGCCAAAACTCTTCCTTCTAGCTCTCTACCGAACGTACATGCGTGCATGCCTCCGGTACACTTTAAGCTCAGAGGACCCTGCGCTTCACCACGACCTGCTGATTTTTTTCCCGTCACCCGCCGACTCGCGATTCCGACCTCGCCGCAACCGAAAAATACCCCGCGCGCAAAAGCGCGCAGCTTCCATACGCAGGTTCTGAGGATGGATCGGCGAGACGATGCTAAACTGTCCGCTGCGGTGGCCGAGGGGGAGGATTTGAAGCTGGTGAACAGGCTGAGTGAGAGCAGGAGTCCATATGTAAGTGGTCATGGGAATTAGGTACCGCAGTATGCGCCAATGCTAATACTGCGCGTTGAAAGGTTCGCGGCCACATGGACAACCCCGTTGCCTGGCAGATGTGGGGGCCAGAAACTCTCGAGCTCGCAAAGAAGTCGAACAGACTGCTCTTCATCAGTATCGGATACGCGGCGTGCCACTGGTGCCATGTTATGGAGCGCGAATCGTTCGAGAACGCCGAAGTCGCTGAGCTGCTCAATAAGTGGTTTATACCTATCAAGATCGACCGCGAAGAACGCCCGGACGTCGATCGCATCTACATGAATTATGTCCAGGCAACTACGGGATCGGGCGGTTGGCCACTGAACGTTTTCATAACTCCCAATCTGGAGCCAATATATGGAGGGACATACTGGCCCGGTCCTGGCTCTGCGACGGCTTTGGGGGATCATATCGGATTTGTGGGAATCCTGAAGAAAATTAGAGATGTGTGGGCGGACCAGCGGCAACGGTGCCTGGAGTCTGCAAAGGACATCACGGCGCAGCTGCGAGAGTTCGCCCAAGATGGGAGCATAAGTCGAAAGGGGGAGGCCGAGGTGGATGGGCTGGACTTGGAGTTGCTGGACGATTCGTACGAGCATTTTGCGGCGAAATACGACGAGCAGTTTGCAGGCTTTGGGGTGGCCCCGAAATTTCCGACACCGACAAATCTGAGTTTTTTGCTGAAGCTACCATCTTATCCGAGTGCTGTTGCGGATGTTGTGGGAGCAAAGGATTGTACAAAAGCGAAAGACATGGTACTCTCAACTCTCACAGCCATGAACAATGGTGGCATACACGATCAGATCGGAAACGGATTCGCGCGGTACTCGGTGACTCGGGATTGGAGTCTTCCACACTTTGAGAAGATGTAAGTTTGTCGATTACAAAGAGAACCAAAACAACTGACAATGTACAGGCTCTACGACCAAGCACAGCTCCTGCCTGTCTTCCTCGATGCCTACCTCTTGACACGCAATCCCGCCCACCTCTCGGCTGTCCACGACATAGCCACGTACCTCACGACAGCACCCATGCAGGCCAGCGCTGGCGGGTTCTTCTCTGCCGAAGACGCCGACTCCCTCTACCGACCCACGGACAAGGAGAAGCGCGAAGGTGCCTTCTACGTCTGGACACTTAAGGAGTTCCAGAATATACTAGGAGACCGGGACGCCGACATCCTTGCCCGGTACTACAACGTGAAAGACGAAGGCAACGTTAGTCCTGAGCACGATGCCCACGACGAGCTCATCAATCAGAATGTGTTAGCAATCAGCAGCACATCTCACGACCTGGCGAAAGAATTCGCACTCTCGGTAGACGAAGTGGAATCAATACTGACAGAAGGCCGGAAAAAGCTGCTCTCGCACCGAGAAAAAGAGCGCCCCCGACCCGCTTTAGACGACAAAATAGTGGTTTCATGGAACGGACTGGCCATCGGCGCACTCGCCCGCGTAGCCTCCGCACTCTCTTCTTCGGACCCCTCAAGGTCAAAAGAGTACCTAAAAGCCGCCGAGCATGCAGCTTCGTTCATCAAACAAGAGCTCTACAACCCTCAATCGCACACGCTCCTACGCGTATACCGCAAAGGCCCCGGCGACGTCCCAGGTTTCGCAGACGACTACGCCTACCTAATCTCCGGCCTAATCGACGTATACGAAGCGACCTTCAACGACAGTTACCTACACTGGGCCGACTCCTTGCAAAAGACCCAGCTCAGTCTGTTCTGGGACAAAGAGCACCTAGGTTTCTTCTCCACCGCCGAAAACCAAACCGATCTCCTCATGCGCCTGAAAGACGGCATGGACAGTGCCGAACCCGGCACCAACGGCATTAGCGCACGCAACCTGGACCGTTTAGCCGCCCTGTTCGAAGACGCCGAGTACGCCAGGAAAGCGAGGGAAATCACGCACGCTTTCGAGGCCGAGATCATGCAACACCCCTTTTTGTTCCCCGGTATGATGGATACCGTTGTCGCGGGTAAGTTTGGCGTCACGCATACCGTTATTTCGGGCGAGGGGGGTAGGGTCGAGGAATGGTTGACTAGGTATCGAGAGAGGCCGGCGGGTCTGGGCACGGTTAGTAGGATCGGCGTTGGCGTGGGCGGGTGGTTGAGGATGCGGAATCGGCTTGTGGGCACTATGGATATGGGGAAGGAGGGCGTCATGGTGTGTGAGGCTGGCGCTTGCAGGGAGGAGTTGGGCTTGGGTATGGAGAGTTTGGTGGATGCGATTAGGGATGTTAGTGAGCGGTGAGATATCCTTTCCCCCCCCCCCCCCCTGCCCGCCTACTTTCGTGTCGTTTATCATTAGCTTGTTGGTGGGGTGGTAGGTGGGGTAGTTTGAGATGTAACATTTCTTTTTCTTCCTCTTCTTTGTTTTTTCTTTGTAGCGGATATCATATCATTATAGCATACATATTGATTTTGTTCGGGCAAGGTAATACGGATTAATATGTACATCTCGAGTATACGTATAATTTAATACATTTCGCAACTATACATATATATTTCTTGCACATGAGGGATGGTGCTTGGCTCTAAAAGCTGCACTCTCGGCGCCTGTTATGAAGTATCATGTTGGGTACTTTGGGGATCGAGTATTGAACCACTTCTGAACGAGTGGTGTACTCTTGATCGGTCTAGAGATCGGCATCAGATCATAAAGCCACGATTCCCGGAGACTGATGTATTCCCGTAGTTTCAAGGTGCTAGAGACAAAGACATGCGACATTATCGAAAAGCATTCCTAGAAAACAAGGGAAGGAAAGGGAAAGGACAAAGAAGTCCATTCCAAACAGATACCATTCACTCACCAGCCTCGAGTCTCGCATCTCGTCTTTGTACACCATACATAGCACAGCGACGAGAAGGAAAAGAAGAAAAAAGACGACGAGACTCGCGCGTTGACGAAGCGGGCGCGTGCGTGCCTATCTTTTCCTTCTGGGTTCGCGGTCGGAGTATGGGAACCCGTAGCTGTGGTAGCGCGTCCTTGCACGAGCAAGCCACACAAGGATCGACGTTCCTTTCTTAGACGATGGGATGTGTACGGGGATGTTTACAAAGTGGTGTAGGTAAGCGTTATGGATGCGGTGATCATGAGGAAATGTACGTGGCGTCCGTAGTGGAAAGGTTTAGTGCTGTAGTTCCTGTGGTGCTGTGATTTAGGAAGGAGCGGCTCTAGACGCGCGCTTTCCGTGTTGAGCCCGGCTTTTTGGTTGGAACACGTGGTGTGGCATTCTGAGTGCGAGAGGGATGTGGTGGCTATAACATTGGCTGGAAGATGGTAATGAAGCAGTCGTGGTGAAGTGGTGCGTTCTGTAGTCTTGAGACGGGTACGCCCAACCCCGGGAGCACTGTGTTCGGCTCCGAGATTGCATGGTGACCAGAGCCGCTGATGTCGATATGGTATTGGCTGCTTGTCATGGTGATAAGATTAATAGTGTTTCTCCCCCGCAACTTCTACCAGACCTCTCGGCTCTCACTGAAAACGGTCTCGGAGTGAAACCAGGACCTCGTGCGGCCGTAAAATTTGTCGACATGATGCCATCTCCGCAAATGAGACGCGCAATCATCCCACCTCGTCGCCCATCACGCAAAAT